ATCAAGCAATTTTTTTAAAGCTCTAAAAATTCAAAAGAGAAAGAAAAAAGAACAGATGGGATAACTAGAAAATAAAGAGCAAGACGGTAGACTTAAACACAAATTTAGATAATTATACTGAATTTAATGATCTAAATAACGTATTTAAAGACAGATATTCTCAGACTTGATAAAAAAGCAAAACCGAGAGGAGTCATGTTACCACAATGGCAGAGTAGAAGCAATCTGGCTTCACTCTTCCCCACAGAAAACCAGAACAACTATCCAGTACCAATTACCCTCACACGCATCCCAGAAACCAAAACCGAGGCTGTGATGGTCCCGGGGGACCAGAGAGAAGCAAAAAACTTCAAGCAGAAGGTTAGAGAAACAGACTACTCCATTCACAACACCCCGCCCTCAAGCTGCTGGGCCGCATGTGGAAAAACTCCCATGGACTCACAATACTACACTGAAAGAAGTCAGATAAAGGCAGACAGACACCTTTATCTCCATGTTGGGTTCTTTCACAGAAAAATCATTCCTGCTTCAACCTAAGGGAAGCATCTTTGCCTATAGGGTAAAAAAAAATCCTAAAGGCAGCCAAAGACAATGGATAGAGACAGGGTTAGCAATCTCCAATGAACAAAACTCAGTGATACTCTTCATCTCAGCCAAAAAAGACACCAAATCAGAGAGGTTGTTCAGCAGTATCATGGTTTGGAAGTATGCTCCATGAGTCCATGAGGCTATGAAGCCCTAGCCAGCCTTCCCACGCTGCCAGGGTATCCTTTTGTTGTAGACACTCCCAGTCCACAACAGTAAGCATTCTGAACTTTTACAAGAGCTGCAAAAGTTAATTTTTTGACAAGATAAACAATATTGACAAACCTGTAGGTAGAATAAGGAAAAAAGAAAAGACTCAAATAAATTAATTCAGAGATGAAATGAGATATGGTAACCAATACCACAGAAATATAAAGGATCATTAGACACTATTATGAGTAACTATATACCAACAAATTGGAAAACCTAGAAGGAATGGATAAATTCCTGGACACATACAATCTAAGATTGAAATATAAAGACACAGAAAACCTAAACAGACCAATAACAAGTAATGTGATTGAAGCAATAAAAAGTCTCCCATCAAGAAAAAGCTTAGGACCTGATGGCTTCACTGCTGAATTCTAATAAACATTTAAAAAAAGAATTAATACCAATTAAACTCAAACTATTCCAAAAACGTGAAGAGGACAGAATATTTTCAATCTCATTCTATGAAGACAACATTATCCTAATACCAAAACCAGAAAAGGACACAACTAAAGAAGTAAACTACAGAGCAGTATCCCTCCCAGATGAACACAGATGCAGAAATCCTCAACAAAATACTAGCAAACTGAACTTAATAGCACATTAAAAAGATCATTCACCATGATTAGGTGGGATTCAGATGGTTCAACATATGCAAATTAATAAGCATGATATATCACATCAACAGAATAAAGGACAAAAACCATATCATCATTTCAATAGATGCTGAAAAAGCATTTGATAAAATTAAACATACCTTCATGATAAAAAAAATTTTCAACAAACTCAGCAAAGAAGAAATATACATCAAAACAATAAAAGCCACGTATGACAAATCCAGAGCTAATGTCATACTGAACATGGAAAAATTGCAAGACTTTCCTCTAAGATCTAGAACATGACAAAGATGCCTACTTTCACCACTTTTATGCAACATAGTGTTGGAAGTCCTACCCAAAGCAATTAGAAAAGAGAATGAAATAAAGAGCACTCAAATTACAAAGGAAAAAGTCAAATTGTCCTGTCTGCAGATGACATGATCTAATACTTAAGACACCAACAAACAGCCATTAGACTGATAAACAAATTCAGTAAAGTTGCAAGATATAAAATCAACATATTAAAATCAGTAGCATTTTTATATGCCAAAAGCAAACAATCTGAAAAGCAAATTAAGAAAGCAATCCCATTTACAACAGCGACAAAGAATATAAAATACCTAGTAATCAACTGAACCAAAAAAGTAAAAAAAAAATCTATACAAGGAAAACTATAAGACACTGATGAAAGAGGGAGGACACCAAAAAATGGAAAGACAGCCCATGTTCATTAATTAGAAGAATTAATATTGTTAAAATGTCCATCCTACCCAAAGCAACCTACAGATTCAATGCAATTCCTATCAAAATACCAATGATATTCTTCACATAAATAGCGGGAAAAAATCCAAAAATTCGTATGGAACCACAAAAGACCCAGAATAGTCAATGTAATCTCAGGGAAAAAAAAAAAAAAAAAAAAAAAAAAGCTTGAGGCATCGTATTACCTAACTTCAAAATATACCACAAAACTATAGTAAACAAAACAGCATGTTACTGGCATAAAAACAGACATACAGATCAATGGAACAGAATAGAGAACCCAGAAATAAATCCAAGTATTTACAGGCATCTCCTTTTCAGCAAAGGCACATTAGGGAAAGGACAGGCTCTTCAATAGATGGCTCTGTGAAAACTGGATATCCATATGCAGAAGAAAGAAACTAGACCACTATCTCTCACCAGGTACAAAATTCAAATCAAAATGGATTAAAGCTTAAATATAAGACCTGAAACTATAAAACTACTAAAAGAAAACATTGGGGAAGCTCTCTAAGACACTGAACTGGCTAAATATTTCTTGAGTAATACCCCACAAGCATGGAAGCTAAAGCACAAATGGACAAATGGGATCATATGAAGTTAAAAAGCTTCTGCACTGCAGAGGAAACAATCAGCAAAGTGAAAAGGCAACCCACAGAATGGGAGAAAATATCTGCAAACTATCCATCTCATAAGAAATTAATAATCAGAATATATAAGGAACTTTTATCTGACTTAAAATGGACAAATAATCTTTTGTTGTTGTTGTTGTTGTTGTTGTTAGACAGTGTCTTGCTCTGTCACCCAGGCTGGAGTTGCTGTGGTACGATCTCAGCTCACTGCAACCTCCACCTCCCAGGTTCAACGGATTCTCGCGCCTCAGCCTCCTGAGTAGCTGGAGTTACAGACATGTGCCCCCACATCAGGCTAATTTTTGTATTTTTAGTAGAGACAGGGTTTCGCTATGTTGGCCAGGCTGGTCTCAAACTCCTGATCTCAGGTGATCTGCCCACCTCGGCCTCCCAAATAGCTGGGATTACAGGTGTGAGTCACTGCACCTGGTGACAAATGATCTTAATAGACATTTCTCAAAAGAAGACATACAAACAGCCAACAAGTATATGAAAAATGCTCAACATCACTAATCATCAGGGAAATGCAAATTAAAACTACAATGAGACATCACCTCACCCCAGTTAAAAATGACATTTATCAAAAAGATAGGCAATAACAGATGCTAGCAAGGATGTGGAGAAAAGGGAACCCTCATACACTGTTGGTGGAAAGTAAATTAGTACAGCCACTATGGCGAACAGTCTGAAAGTGCCTCACAAAACTAAAAAAATAGAACTACTCTACAATCTGATGATCCTACTGCTAGGTATATATCCAAGAGAAAGGAAATTAATATATCAAAGAGATATCTGCACTCCAATGTTTATTGCAGCACTATTTACAATAGTCAAGATATAGAATCAACCTAAGTGTCCATCAACAGATGTATGGATAAAGAAAATGTGGGCCGGGAGTGGTGGCTCACACCTCTAATTCCAGCACTTTGGGAGGCCGAGGCACGCAGATCACCTGAGCTCAGGAGTTCGAGACCAGCCTGGCCAACATGGCGAAACTCCATCTCTACTAAAACTATAAAAATTAGCCAGGCATGGTAATGGGCACCTGTAATCCCAGCTACTCAGGCAGGGAGAATTGCTTGAACCCAGGAGGCAGAAGTTGCAGTGAACCAAGACCACACTACTGCACTCCAGCCTGGGCAACAGAGCAAGACTCTGACTCAAAAAAAAAAAGAAAGAAAGAAAATGTGATATATATATATATACACACACACATATATATACACACACACATATATATACACACATATATATACACACATATATATATACATACATACAATGGAATATTACTCAGCCAAAATGTAAAAAAAAGAAAGAAATCTCTTTATTTGCAGCAACATGGGTAAGGCCGGATGGCTTTTTGTTAAGTGAAATAAGCCAGAAATACAAAGACAAATATTGCAGGTTCTCACCTATATATGGGAGTTTAAAAAATTGATCTCATGGAGATAGACAGTAAAATGGTGGTTAATAGAGATTGGGATGAATGTGGGGAGAGGAGAATGAAGAAAAGCTAGCTAATGGGTATAATGGTACGGTTAGATGGAATAACTTCTAGTGTTCGATAGCACAGTAGGTTGACTATAGTTAACAATAATTTGCTGTATATTTCAAAATACCTAGAAGAGAAGACTTGGAACATTCCCTACACAAAGACATAATAAATGGTTGAGGCAGTGGATATCCCAATTACCGTGACTTGACCATTACACATTTTATGCATGTATCAAAAAAAATCACATGTACCTGGTAAGTATGTTCAATTATAACTTATTTATCAATGAAAAAGCAAGACTGAGGAACTTCCACTTCCTCTTAGGATGTATTAAGTCACAACATTAATGTCACATCTAAAAATGAGTAAAGGCTGGATAATTTATAAAATCACAACTTTTCATGAACCCATCAGAAAACTGACGTTGCAAGAAAACCAAGCGATCTGAATGCCAAAGAATGACCAATCCTCTTTCAGATGAGAATAGACACTTCAAAAGTCATCAAGTGGATACTGTGATAAACTAACAAGGAAAGACTATGAAACCACCACAGATCAGAAATCTAATAATCTATTGATAGAAGTACAAATAGGACACAGTACCAGCTGGGAAAAAAGTGAGCAAAAACACTGAGGAGTTAGGATGAAGCAGCTACAAAAAAGATATACCCTTGGACTTCAAGAGTGTGAAAATAGAAACCGAATGGTCCTTACCGTCCATGAAGTCTGTAATAGGCCAGCTGAAGTGCAAGCTGAATAAATGTATCTGGGTGAAGCATCTTGTTCTTGGTTAGCTTTTTGCCGAAAGATGTAAAGGCATAAGCCGCAATCTGTAGATCAGATGCCTAACAAGAAGAATTAAATGAGAACAGTGAAAAATCATCTAAGGAGAATACACCAAAGAGAACCTAATTATCACCTGCATTAAAGTAATCACCAGACATAAAGAATTAAAGGTGTTAAAGGCATAATTTTAAAATTTTTGTGCAGACATGCTTGGATGACAGCCAAATTTTTACATATGGTTGTTAAAAGAAAAAATCATGATTATTTAAGAGAAAAGTGAAAAATATACCTCCCTGAGATACTGAGCTTTAGCTTGGCTGATGTCATTTAATACTTTCTCATCCACAGTGAAAATAAGCTCTTCTGGAAGTGGTATATCTCGTACCTTCTCTGAACCCTGAAAATAGGAACAACTTAAAATATTTTATCTATAAAATTATTAGGAGAAAAAAGATGAAATACTTATTCAAACATACCTTCCATCTTCCTTCATTCTGAAAAATTTTCTCATCCACATAATAACTGATGTTCACCATAACCATTGCATCAAAAGGGGCATGCTAAAATGAGAACACACAAGATTTCTGAATACTTTATGTCAACTTAAAACTTGACCCAGTATTTTATTTTCACTTTGTGTCTATTCTTAACAGATAATAAAGCATAGAGTCTTCAAATGCCTCACCTCCTGATGATAAGATATAGGATTCCCTATTGTTCAGTAACTGCTGTATTTTATTTTTTGGAAAAAAAAATTGTTTAAATTTGGAAGCACCTAGTAGGGCTCCTGGTGGGGCTTGGGGTCATGAGGGTGTATAGTGTATAAAGTAACATATAAACAATCTAGATAAACTAATTGCTGTTTTTACCAGAAGTCAAAGCAAGTGTATATATGCAATACGAAGAGGTTCTGGAATTGTAAGAACGGGGTGGAAAAGCAGATGGGGATGGCAGCCTACCTGAAAGCATTTGGGATGGGCATGAACTTCTTTAGGTAAGGACTTAGGCCACTTAGTGAATATTAGAAAGCATAACCATTTTGTGTTTTTTATACATATGAGGGTCCCGATATGATAATTCTCAGTTTAAGAAATGTGGGAAAGATAGGCTAGGTGTTACAGGGGTGTTTCAGGTTTGCCAGGTATATTCAGATAAATAAATTGCAGTTAGTGAATTTTCCCATCATTTATATTGAAGAACAAAGTTTTTGCCCGCATTTTCCCCATGTTCCTTAGATGAGAGTTACATCAGATGGTTCCTTGTGACTGTCACCACTTTACATTAGACACAGATATCATTCATGATCTGAACATGACACTGAGAGCTTCGGAGGGAAAGAAGGGAAGTCTCAAGATATGGGCCCAGTTTCAGAGGAGTAATTAGGTGTCTTAAATATCACCCTAACACTATAGCTCTGTAGCCTGTATCATGGCCCAGTGGAGCCTATAAACACAATTTATTGTTACTAGGCAACAACTAAATCAGGAAAGGCTTTTGAGGGAGGTCAGTATAAGATGCCTGAGCAGTTTATCTGCCAGCAACAGCACACATGACAAGACTCACAGGTCACTGACAAACCCATTTGCTAACAGTATCTCACAACTGTGTGGTACTTTACAATTTTACAAAGAATTTTCAGATATTATCACATATACTGTTTAATTTAAGACATTTTACAACTATTTTACTGGAGCCAGTAGGAAATAGCAAGAATGAAGGATGTCTCTTTGAGTTATAACTCTAAGCACCCATCTCCTAATGGAAACCTAATAATCTCAAAAAAGTTAGAAAATATATAAAATTCCAATGCTATCGTGATGCTTTATTTGTTCACATGATTTTTGCCTTTCATTTCTTGCACTTACACAGAGGCAATATGTGTTGACAAAGTGTTTAAGAATGTAGGCTTTGGTTCTGAATTCAAACTACTTCCTAGTTGTGCAATAGTAAGAAAGTTACTTTGCTTTCTAATTAAACTGCCTCATTTCTCAGTAGAGATAATGCATACATACCTACAGATGCTGTGAAAAATGATTTTTTATGCCACTTATACTGTACTTACTAAGGATCTGGCTCACAGCAATAATTAGTAACTACTGTTATTATTAACTAAAGTTTTTACATACTTCCTGTGCACCCTCTGCAAAGCCTTACAATAAAGCCTACAATATAGAGAAGACAACATAGTTGACTTCAGGATTATAAAATATGAGGGAAATGGAATTAATATAATCACAAAAGAACATATTCAAACAATTATAATTATGGAACAGCAACATGGCTTGAGGGTAAAATAGCTTTATTTTACAGTACATATACTTACTTCATTTTTTTCTTTTTTTTTTGAGATAGGGTCTTATTCTGTTGCCTGGGTGGGAGTGCAGTGGTACAACCATGGCTCACTGCAACCTGGACCTCCTAGGTTCAAGTGATCCTCCCACCTCAGCCTCCCAAGTAGTTGGGAGTATAGGTATGCATTACCATGCCCAGCTCATTTTTTATTTTTTGTAGAGATGGGGGTCTCACTATGTTGCCCAGGCTGGTGTTGAACTGCTGGAATCAAATCCTCCCACCTTGGTCTCCCAAAGTGCTGGGATTATAGGCATAAGCTCCCATGTCTGGCCTACAGCATATGTATTTCACTAATAATGATTTACAAAGGTTAAACTGCACTGTCTATAATCATCTTAGGTTAGAAGGGAAACCTCCATGGAATTTAACGCAAATTATCAGGTGGAGATAATCAGATCAATTTTATAAATATATGCATGTTAATGCACACACACAAAACATGTCCACATACTATAGAAAAGCACCTCAGTTGTGCTGAGAGATGCTCATTATGAGCCCAGTATTCTTTATTCAGAGACAGACAATATTATCAAAATTATTTTCATCCTGAATTTCTGTGAATAGCAGGATACCAGTGCTATTAGTAAAAATCAGTTTAGCAAAAGGTGTTTTTTGGTGGGCTTGGGAATGAGGGACGGAAAACAAGATGAGTTACTCTTGATGAGACTGATTTACTCTTATGTAACAATATAACATCCAATTTGAACAATTTAACATATAATGAAACACAACTCTCAAATGAGAATACTAGGTAAAAGCTAGAAAAGTGTAACTGCGAGTTACATATATAACAATAGGTCAATCAAACTATTTAAATCAGGGAAGAAAGTGGTCAGAGGGGGAAAAGTGTCATGAGTATTAAGGTCAGTTTCAGAATCAGTAGATAGGAAAATACTGTGAAGAGGAAAGAGGCAGTGTCAAAATATGTATGAAGAGGGTAACCAACTGCAGCAGACAGGTCAAAGAGAAATCAAGGGAAGAAGCCAGGGGGTAGTTAACCACCTTACAAAGGGTAGTTTGCAAGGAACGGTAAGGTCATAAACCAGACTGAGGAATGTCAAGGAGAATCAAATGAGGAGCTGAAGAGACAAAAACTGAGGCAATTAACAACAACTATTCTGTCAACAGTAGACTCAAAGGAAGAGTAAAGAGAACATCTTCAAAATGACTCGTGGCAACTTTTCACTGTAGCTCTGATGAGATACTCCAACAGACAGTCACTTTCAGTACCTATTAACCAATCCACCTTGTTCTGAAATAACAGCTACTTTATTGTTCTTTAGGCAACCAAACACCACTTTGTAATGGTTTGAATGAGACTGATTCTACCCACTAGATTCCAAGGTTGGGCATGTGACCCAGGCCAAGCTCATCCAAGCACCTGATTCCCCAGGATGGGGACATGAATCACACAGGCCAATCACAACTGATGAGGATTATTCCAGGAACTTTGCCGGAACCATTGGAAAAAAAGAAGCTGACTATTTCCTTTGGGAGTCAATAAGTTATGAAGAAAGCTATGAAGACATGAGACTGTTGGCACAACAATCACATTGGGCAGTCTACCTAAATATGAAGCCAAACAAAGGAAAGCAGCACTAAAAATGGGAAGAGATTTCCAATGAAAGCATTTGAACACTGAAGTCAGCTTTACCCAAATTTAGCTACATCCCTTGCCAACAAATATCTTCTTAAGTTAATGCCAGTTTGATTTAGGTTTCTATCACCTAAACCTGAATACAGATTAATACAACTACTGAACCCTATTTTTTTTCTTTTTTTTGAGACAGAGTCTCAGTCTGTTGCCCAGGCTGAGCAGGTGATTGACCCAGTCACTGCTCACTGCACCCTCAACCTCCCAGGTTCAAGCGATCCTCCTACCTCAGCCTCCCAAGTAGCTGGGACCACAGGCGCACACCACCATGTGAGGCTAATTTCTGTATTTTTTGTAGAGATGGGGTTTCATGACATTGCCCAGGCCAGTCTCCATCTCCTGGGCTCAAGTGATTCACCTGCCTTGGCCTCCCAAAGTGCTGGGATTACAGGTATAAGCCATCAGGCCCAGCCCTAAACCCCTTTATAAAAAATCTTCTTGGTTCATAGACCTCCTGAATGCCTATCAGACAGTTAGTAGGCAGAGCTAGTAAAGACATCTATGGGAGGGGAACAGAGGAGAAACAAGAAAAGTTGTTTTTTTTTTATGAAAATGGTCAAAAATGGTAGTAACTGCCATTTTAATATCCACAGCCTAAATAGTGTTCCAAAGATCATGTGTCATTTTAGGAAAATAGTTACCTAGTTACTAGGTGAATCTTAAACTCTATAAATATATCCAAATGCATTGATCTGTGCATAGAACACATACATAATGCCATATAATACCTTTTGAAATAGGTATTCTCAGCAAGCAGATAATACTGGGTTTTAAGAGCTTACACTACATAAATACTATATGCAAATTCCATTTTGCAGATATAGTACTAACAAACTGTTGGCCTTACTACAGAAGAAAATAACTTGTCCTATACTCTACTTTCACTGAGAATTCATAACTAAACTTTTCACCAAAGTGCCATAAAACTAAATTAGTATTCACTTACACTGTTCCCCAGCACAAGTATTTACGGTTTATTGCCATTAATTTAACCTAAAAGATCAAAAGAGAAAAAAATTTCAGTAGTTTACTTACATCACAATTACAGCCAAATACTCCATTAGAAAAGGAAATCAAGTTATAGGATTTGTCACCCCAGCGTACTGTTGGATCTCCAGTAAGGATGGCTGCAATAATCTAAAATAAATTTAATTTTTCCAAATTAAAAGGGTTTAATATTGGTTTGTAAGAATTCATATCTTAAACATATATATCACATCACCATTCCTCTTCAGGTCAACCAAATTTAATAAAATGATAATATAGTTATACTCGAGAGAGTAATTCTGGCCCTGACTTTAGGGGTTTCTCAAAATCTCAAATCAAGAAAATCCTACCACAATATTCATGAATGTTTACAGAACATAGAATTGAGAGGAGAAGGCTTTGTAACTTGAATAGGATAAAAGATCTTGATAAAAGTTTAGTCATTAAAGTCTAGTTAGGAGGAAATATTTTAAGAATTCATTTCCTACTAAACCTGTTTTTCAAACTGTATACTTTGGCCTATTAATGAATCGTGAAATCAATTCAGTGCATCACAATCAATATTCCTTATAAAAAAGAATAAAATAGACTGGAAATATCAGTGTACCTCACAGATAATAAAAGTAGTTAGTGTTCTGTGAAACTCCTATTTTATATATGTGTTTGCATGCATACACACATGTACATATAGTGGGCTGCAATCTAAATGTATTTGTAACTAAAAATTGTGGTCAAAAAAGTCTCAACAACACTGCATTAAAATACATTCTTCCTTAAAAAGAAGTCTGGTGATTCTCCAAAAACAACAACAACAACAAAAAAAAAACCTCTTTCCTTGCTACAAGGTTTTTCAATCCTTGATATTCTTTTCCTATTATTTAATACCAATTAATGCATTATAAAATAATTTAAGTATTTTCAAAAGACTATGAGATTTCTAATACAATTACTATCTTTTATTATTTCCTGGGAAACTGAAATGTCACCCTGGGAGTGGCAGGGGAGCATAAAATAAGGCCATATTTACCCTTAACGTCACTGACATCGATGTGTTCAGTAATTAACCAAATGATAAAATAAATGATTTACAAGGGTGACATAATTCTTAGGAGAGATACTCCCAGCTATGGTGTCAAGATACACTAGTGCAGGTTATGATTAGGTTCTCGTTTCACCTTTGGCAAGAAAAGTTCATTAACCTAGAGGTCTGTGTAAAACAGAAGATAGTTAAGTACCTCAGAATAATCCTCTGGTGTTACATGTGGACTGTCATCCTCCATGGAATATACCAGTAAACTACTCTGAATTTTTTCTAACAAGGCCAAGTTCTCTGCATCAAGACCAATCAGATACTCTCGTGCCTAAAGGGCAAGGAGATGATGATCAAATATTACAACTGAAATACAATCCATCAGAAGAGTTTGTTAGAGAAAAGCTTCGTTAAGAAAAATGTAAATCAGAACCTTAGCCCATCGAGTTCGCTCCTCACTAGTTAATGCTGCAATCCCAGGTCCATCAGGTTCACTATGGCACTTCTTGTGGATATATGTCAGTTGTCTTATGGAAGATGAAAAGAAGATTCAAAAACAGTACAGGCAAAAAATAACTACTTTGGCCTTTAAAAGGTCATAACATTGATCAATATTTAAATGTTTGGATATATTACCCAAAGAAACCACTTATGATGCCAATAGATTTCCCACAGCACATATTTTTAAGTGATTGTGTTCTATTAATACCCAAAGCATATTTGACAATAATTTAATTTCAGTAAATAAATTTAGTTATTGGCTAAATTTAGTTCGGTTGATATATACTTTTGAAATGTGCATGCACTTCTAGGTTACAAGTAAATATCCTTTTTACTGTAAATATCCTGACAATAGAGAACTTGAAAAATATCCTGGTAATCAATTTCACAAAAACCATGTACATCTTATTCAACTAAAAACTATGTGCATATATATTTAACCAGAGGACTTACTGTATACTCAATTAATACCTGTGTTTTACCAAAAAAAAATAGAAATACCATGTAATCAGTTTTAAGTATTTTCATATGTGCCAATTTGTTACTTCTAATCATTATATTTTTAAAGAATCTACTAGCTAAGGATAAACTACTTCCCCTCCATAGTATTTTATGCTCCCAGATTGATGAGTTTCATGTATCTTTAAACATACAGCAGATAAATAACTGGGTTCTCCCATAAAGAAATTTTCATCAGTCAAAAATCCACAGAGCTTTAATTTAGCTCTACTTCTTCATGGCACATGTTAAGAAATTACTTCAATTTAAAAGCTTTCAAGGTTTTCTCAGGAAGTGAGCTAATGTAGCTTAATAAATGGTCAAAAAACACCACTAGTAGCCATCAGCTCTGACTTCATCATTCAAAACTGCAATTCATCATTTATCTACCGATTTGCATACTCTCCTCTGTTTGTTCATTATATCTGTAACACTGATAAAGAAATAATTTTCTTGCTGAAAAATCCCCCCCTTTTTATTTGCAAGTTAATGGTGTCCTGAGGAACAGAATAAGGGTTTCTTCACCAATCTGCATCTATAGCGAGAGTAACTTGCCTTGCCTTGCCTCTCTCCCTGCTTACTTGTCTTTAGTAGATACTGATTTTGCTCCAATTATGAATAAACTTTTGCAGTTTGTGGTTACTAGCATAAACTCTGAATTTCTAAATAAAATCAACCTGTTTCTCTCTATATGGTACTTGTTGCTACCTTTCCCTTATCAACTACCTCAAAGCACCAGTTTTGACTATGAAACTTTTTCTTCCTCCCTGAAATGATCATTTTCATGTTCGTTTTACAAGGTGGTCATTATTATGGATAAATTACAAAGGAAAGTGTGTTAAACCTGAAATGACATTTTAAGTGTGATAATAAAAGGTCACATAACTGCCCAAATCGTCACCATTAAGAGATGCAGATTTGGTAACAAGATAATCCCTCTTTTCCTTTAACTTGGCTAACTATGCAACCGTTTTTCAGCTACACATCTAATTTTTTATATTTCAAAGCACAAAGATTTGTATTAAAAATATCTGCATTACAGAATCATATATTTTTAAAAATTTTCTATACGCCACACAATCTGGCTTTTTCTTCATCGCTTTCCGTTCACTCTTTAATTTACTGTCCTCGATTTTTGTTCTCCAGTGATCATCTTGAAACTGCTCTTCTGAAAGTCACCAATAATGTCCATTAAGGAAACCCAGTAGCTTTATCTAAGTCTAGTTTTCCTCATTATAGAATTTTGACACTCAGGAATGAATGTTAAAATTATCTTCTTACTTGAGTTTTTCACACGGTTCCATTGTGGTCTCCGTATCTCACTGCAGTCTTTTTCATTGACCATTTGTTCTCCTTACACTGCTGAATGTGTCTTTTCCCAAATTTCTGTCACTGGCCTTTCCAAGCTCCTCTTGTAAGTTTCTCCCTCGGTAATCTCATCTACTTCTTTAATAGTTTCAACTATCACTTTTATGTAAGAGGCAACCAACTCTAACTTCAACACCATTTTCCCTCTCAATCTCTGTTACCAAAGTTCCAAAGTTCCAAAAGCTTGTTGGATATCTCTACTTCAATTCCTGCCAACATTTCCAACTAAATGTACATTTAAACATTATCTCCCCCCTTTCCCACAATTTTTTTTAAAAGATGTTAAAAGATAACATATGTGTAAATCTTCATGTCCTCAGATTAGGCAATGGTTTCTCAGATACAATACCAGAAGCACATGTAACAACAACAAAAAAGATCAAATTGGATTTTGTCAAAATGAAAAATATTGTGCATCAAAAGAGGCCATCAAAAAAGTGAAAAGCCAAGCCTAGGAGATATAATTTGCTAAATTATATATCTGTAAAAAGACTTATATCTAAAGAACTATTACAATTCAATAATAAAAAGACAACCTCATTTAAAAATTGGCCAAGTAACTGATTAGATATCTCTCCAAGGAAGATATATACAAATGGCCAAAAGGTATGTGAAAAAATCTTCAACATCATTATCAAATATAAACTACAACGAGATCCCACTTTACCCTTACTAGCGTGGCTACAATAAAAAAGGCAGACAATAAGTGTTGGTGAAGATGTGGAGAAACTGGAACCCTAATATACTGCGCCATTTTGGAAAACTCTCTGGTAGTTTCTCAATAGTTAAACATAGAATTACCATATGACCTGGCAATTCTACTCCTAAAATATACCCAAGAGAAATGAAAACATACATTTACATGAAAACCTGTACACAATATTCAAGGAAGCATTATGAATAATTTACTATTTGTCTATTATTCATAATAGACAAAAAGTAGAAACAACTCAAATGTCCATCAACTGATGAATAGTTAATAAAATGTGGCATATCTGTAAAATAGAATGTTATTCAGCAATAAAAAGGAATAAAGCATTCATACATGCCAAAACATGGATGAACCTTGAAAAAATTATGCTAAGTGAAAGAAGCCACACACAAAAGCCTACATGTTGTAAGACGCCATTCCTATATTAATGAAATGTATAAAATAGGCACATTTATAGAGGCAGAAAGTAGACTGGTGGTTGTCAGAACTTTTGGGGTTTTTTTAAGGCAAAAACAGAAATCCAGATGTTTATGTAAAATTTCATGATTTTTAAACAGTGATTCAAATTCTGCTGTCCAAGCAAAATAGGTCACAGGCTGAATGTAGCCCATGAAGCACATGTGTTCAATTTCTGGAAGAGTGGCTTTGAATAATCCAATTATAAGCCTGATCTAATAATTATGTGTCAAATTTAAAACACACTAACTAAAACATGTAATGGGAAGACACACAAATATTATCCAAGATATAAAAGCAAATGATTAAAAAGATAAATCTGCCTAAATCAAAATTAAGATTGGACAATTTCCAAAATTTGCTTCAAGTTAACTGGAAGAAAATGTTTGCAACACACATAATCTATAAAGGATTAATGTGGAGACCATATAAATAATTGCTATAAATCAATCAGAATAAAGTAAAATAGCCAATAGAAAAATAGGCCAAAGTAACTCACGGAAAACACAAATAAGTGGCCTATAAAACATACAAAAATGCTCAACTTCACTTGTAATGAGGGATATGTGAATTCAAACAACAATGAAAACCATTTTTCACCTGTCAGTTCACTAGATACAGCTTTTTTTTTTTTTTTTTTTTTTTGAGACAGGGTCTTGGTCTGTCACCCAAGGCTGGAGTGCAGTGGCATGATCACAGCTCACTGTGGCCTCAACCTCCTGGGCTCAAGTAATCTTCCCACCCCAGCCTTCCAAGTAGCTGGGAGCACTCCCAAGTAGCACTATCATGTCCAGCTAATTTTTTAACTTTTTGTAGAGACAGGGTCACCCTGTGTTGCCCAGGCTGGTATTCAACTCCTGATCTTATGTCATCCTCCAGCCTCAGTCTCCCAAAATGTTGCAATTACAGGCATGAGCCACTGTGTCCCCCCGCCACCAGATGTTTTAAGTTTAACAGTACCATGTCAACAATGATTAGAAGTGGGTGTCGTCATATAAAATACTGGCAGAAAAAACAATGCCACTGTGGATGACAATTTGACTTAGTCAAAAATTTTAAATGTATACATCAGATGATGTGAAAATTTCACTTCTAATATCAAACCATAGATATTTTATCCAAATACACAAAGAGGCATGTTTGAACATGTTAATTATTTGTTATAGCAACAAATGGAAACAACTTTAATGTCATATCATAGAGAAATGGTCACATCAACTATAATATATCCATTTGATGGAATTATATGTAATAGTTTAAAAGAATAAGGTAGATGTATTTGTACCAATAGAAAAGATTACATTTATTGTTGATTAAAAGAAGCTAGTGAGAAAAATAACACTATTTTTTAAATGTGCAACTACCCTTGTGCCTCATGTCAAACACAAAAATCAGTTAACTCCAGGAAGTCTATAAATACAAATGTAAAAGGCAAAACAAAATTCTAGAACATAAGAAATTATCTTCTTGGCAATGAGTTAGGGAAAAATTTTTTAAAACAGAACACAAAATGTATCACCTGTATGGTAAAGATTAAAAGATTAATAAACTGGACTACATTCAACTAAGAACTTCTGTTCACCAGGAAGATGTGTTTAATAGAACAAAAGATCAGTTGTAAACATCTTCTATTCTGTGTATTGCAACACACACGACCAAGTAAGAACTCTTACCCAGAATGTATAAAGAACTTCTATAACACTCACACACTAGTAGACATAACTACTTTGGAAAACTGGCATTATCTATTGAAGCTGAACATACACATACCCTATGACTTGGCAAATTCTCTCCTGGGTGTTTTCCAGACAGAAATACATGCATGTGTACACCAAAAGACTTACACAAAGATTTTCACAGCAGCCTTTTAAAAATAATAATGCAAACTGTAAACAACCTAAATGACTGCCCCTGGGAAGGAGTGAAAGTATGGAAGAGGGATGAGGGGAATCTTCATGTTCTAATTTTTAGAATATTAGAAATGTTCTAATTTTTGACCCGGGTGCAGGTTACATGAGTATTTAGCTGTACATTTCTGTGTGCAGTTTTGTACATGTTTGTAATATTTATTTAAAATAATTTAAGTTATAAATACATATATATACCCAACAATTAGAAAACAATTAGAGCAACTGATCATCTGTTAATAATATTAAAATACTGTTTATTTGGCTGGGTGTGGTGGCTCACGCCTGTAATCTCAGCACTTTGGAAGGCCGAGGTGGGTGGATCACTAGGTCAGGAGATCGAGACCATCCTGGCTAACACGGTGAAACCCTGCCTCTACCAAAAATACAAAAAATTAGCCGGGCATGGTGGCAGGCACCTGTAGTCCCAGCTACTCGGGAGGCTGAGGCAAGAGAATGGGGTGAACCTGGGAGGTGGAGCTTGCAGTGAGCTGAGATCGCGCCACTGTACTCCAGCCTGGGCGATGAGCAAGACTGTGTCTCAAAAATAATAATAATAATCATCATCATCATCATCGTCATCATCATCCATGGGAAAGTAAGGGAAAGGGCAAAAGAGGTATTGTTGAAACAGCACTGACTATGAGTTTATAACTGTTGATGCTAGGAGTTGGTAACTGTTGAAGTTAGGAGATGTGTACACAGGAGTTGTCAGTATATAATTCCCTATACATTTTGAAATTTTCCATAATATACTTTAAAACATACACATAGAAAATGTATACCATATGTATGTACATATATAATATATATTATATATGTATTTTTTAAGCTAGGTATGCGTGTAAATTCATTGCAACAGGCACAGAAAGATGGAACACACTAAACAAGTAACAGTGATTAATTCTGAGGCAAGGAATGGAATTGGTAATATATGTAATGTTTTCCTTTTCTCCAAGTGAACATATTTATATATGTCTAGTAAAATTTAAAAATAATTTAAATTAAAAGTACAAATAGACTTTTTTTTAAAAAAGCAAGTATAAAATTCTTATTTTTCAGCTTACTGTCACCTTGAAAGGCAATTCCAAACATGTATATTTTAATTCAAGCAACACCATAAGACCTAATGAGACTCAAGAAAGTAGTCTGAAAACCTGAGAAGTTCTGGCGGGGTGACCAAACATCCTTCATGTATTACATCAAAGACAAAAGCTCGGCCTCGACACAGCACTACAATGTGGTTTGGGGAACGCCCTTCACTCTCTGGAAACAGAAACAGAAAACACAAGACTCAAATCTAATGCTAAACAGGAGTAAAGTTACATATATCCAATAGAAGAAAAGTAGGTATTCTTCCAATATTTTAATCATATAGTCATCAAATATGTCACATAACAAAAACAATGTATTAATGGAATTGCAGTTACTATGATATAAATACATACTCCTGACACTTGTTCCATGTGAGACAGCTAGAAATCCATAAGTTTCAAATACCCTGAAAACCATATAAATCCCAAACTACTACAGACCTTTCTAGATTTATTTAGAAACAGAAATGGGAAGGGGAGAAGGAGACCAGTGGAATCTTGGAGGAGAGCCATTTGAATTAACAGTTTTCTCTTTTGGGTTATTTTAATGTTAATTACTCATCAGGTAATTTAATTACAGCAATATCTAGCTATGATAACTTAATAAAATAATTTTTAGTAGAGAAGGATACAGTATGCCTGAGTGGCAAAGGAAAAGAATTTTGTCCAGTCTGGTAACATCTGGTAAGCCACTGACAATGGATTATCTCTGATTTCTTTGGCACGCCTTAACTCCCCAAGTACTATTTGTTTGCTGTAAACCTCAGATTATTGTTATACAGCCCCATCTTTAGGTACTTGTCCTTTTGCCAAGGATCTTCTTATATGATCCCTGCCCCACCTTCTAAGAAAAGAAAACGGAAAAAGAGGAAGAAAGAGAAGACATACACTGCCGCTTGAAGGAAATATACTGGTGGGTATTATTTATGGGTCAGTATTAAGTGCTTTACATACATTATCTCATGAAATATTTTCATCAACTACGAGGAAGAACAGTCTCCTGATAACATTACTCTTTTTTCTCTTATACCTATTTCCTCAAGACCTAGAGGGTGAGGTATGTATTTTCCTTGTTCCTCATGGCTACCTCCAAACCATTTCTTCTTTCTTCCCCTTCAAAAACCTCCAGATCCTTTTATCTCTACTACCACTACTCTTTTATTGCTGTCCTCTCCTGACCACACCCCTTTCAAAGTTTAGGGCTGGGAAAGAAAAAAGAAAATAAACCTGATGCCAAATTAATCAATAAATGGTTGGAAAGGGTGAGGGTGGCAGAAGGGTGCTACCTCAGGATAAACCTGGGGGATATTTGAGCAGAAAACTGAATGAAGTGAGAAAAGTATGCCACGGAAATACCCACAGAAGAGTGTTTCAGGGCAGAGGAAACAGCAAGCACAAAGGCATCAGAATAAACATGAGTTGATCTGCTTAAAGGAAAACAAGGTCAGTGCAGCTGTGGCACAGAGAAAAGGGTAGAGTGGTAGATAAGGTTGAGACCCGATTACACTGGCCTCAGAAAGTGGTTTCCAGTATGATGGGAAGGAAATCAATGGACGGTTTTAAGCAGGGGAGTGATAATGTGATCTAACTAAAAAGATCACTCTAGCTGCTATATGGAGAACAGATTATAAGGGTGAAGAGAAGGTATGGCAAATTAGGAAGTGACTAAAGTGGTCCAGGTGAGACCAATCTACGAGAGACGGGATGGTGGCTTCAACTGGGGCCTGATACTTGAAGGAGACAAGGGGTGAATTGTTTTCCTTTTAAGATGGAAGATATTACAGATTGGAACAATCGAGTAAAGAAAGAAAACTGATAAGCAGCAGGGAGAGAGGATAATGCAAAAGCAAGGTCCCTGACTAGGCAAGAGGAACCGGGACTCAGCACAGATATAGAAGAGTTGTCCTTAGAAGTCAGAGGAGTTAATCTATTTTTCAAAAAGAAAAGAAAAGTATACGAATTTGCAGTAACATATTACACGGGGGTAGGGAATGGGCAATATTTGAATTAGTATATTTACACTGGTTGCAAAAACAAGTTACTACTGACTTAGTAGCTTAAAACAACACAAATGTATTATCTTACAGGTCTAAGGACCAGAAATCTGAAATGCGGCTTACTGGGCTAAAATGAAGGTGCCGTCAGGGCTGTGTTCCTTCTAGAGGCTCTAGAAGAAAATTGGTTTCCTTCCTTTCTCCAGCTTTTAGAGGCTATCCACATTCCTTGGGCTCATGAATCCCTTCTTCCATCTTCAAGGCCATGAAGGGAAGATCATAACCTTCTCATATTGCTATCTCTTTGGTTCTCTCCTTTGCCTCCCTCTTCCAGGTATAAGGACCCCTGTGATTATACACTTTGGGCACATGTGAATAATCCAGGATAATGTCCCCATTTCAAGGCCAACTAACTAGCAACCTGAATTCCTCTTTACCATGTAACCTAACATATTAACAATTTCAGGAATTTGAAAGTAGACATCTATGGGGGACCATTATTCTGCCCAGCACTGGAAGGCTGGTAAATGTCATGATGGGAAGAAAGCTCATATTTCTTGAGAAGAAGAAGAGTTTGTAAGCTAAAAAGGAGGGAGAAAGGCATAAAACAGTCTTCTCTGGAAGAGAAAGAATAAGCTAACCAAGGAAGATAGTACAGTAGTGCTGGAGGCCAACTTGAGATTTAACTGAGATCATTAAGTGAGGTGTTGCGGTTTTCTCTGGCCAAGTAAATTGCTAGAGTAGGTATCTTTGATATGTCGAGAAAAGACAAATTAAATTTTAAACTATGTTTAGGTTTTACCACATTAGTACTGAGGAGGGGTGACAAAGATTTGAATGTGCATGCCTGGGAGTAATGATGGTGAAGAACGAGAAAGAAGCGAAGACTTGGGGAAGTAGGAATGGAGCCGTGAAGAGCAGTAGCATCATTAAACTGTAAATCACAATGTGGCCAAAGGAACAGCTGAGTTGGAGTACTGAAAGATGTAGTTTCCTAGAGCTATAAACTGAAGGAAATGAGAGCCTATGGATCGTCTGCAACTGAAAGCTAAAATCATCAAGAATGTGACTGAGATAGTAATGGAAAGAAAGACAGGCACTGGAGCTAAAGCAATCAATAGATGAAGGGGAATGGGCAGGAGGTAAGTCACTGCAACAAGGTAGTGGTGATATAACCTGAAGGCATTTTTTTCCCCAAAAAGGCTAAAATTGTTAAGGAAGAAGGGAAAACAGAAAGGGCAAAGGGAAACAAAAAGGATACCAACACCTCCCACAGGCCCTGTAGTGCTACGTAAAAGAAAAAGAAAAATCCCCCTTGAGAGGGTACAGGGGAAGTAGTAAGCTTAATGAATAATCAAGCTTTAGTAACATCTTTCAGAGAAAAGGTTGAGGATACAATGGATTTTGCTGATCATGAGCTCCAGAAAGTACAGCAGAATGGTTTAGGGAAGTCGTGAGGGTATATCGGAGAAATGAGAAATTTGGATCAAATTAGACCATGCACAAATCCATGAATCCAGTTGACAAGGGATAACATGAACAGTCTGGGCTTTTTGTGTAAATGTGGTAGAGAGAGATGAAAGGTATGACTGAATTAGTCTCAATGGTCTCTTGGGCGTAGGTAAAAACAAATACATAAACAACAGGCTGGGTGCTGCGGCTCACACATGTAATCCCAACACTCTAGGGGCTGAAGCGGGCAGATTGCTTGAGTTCAGGAGTTCGAGACCAGCCTGGGCAACATGGCAAAACCCGGTCTCCACAAAAAATACAAAAATTAGCCAGGTGTGGTAGCATGTGCCTGGTCCCAGCTACTCAGGAGGCTGAAGTGGGAGGACTGCCAGAGCCCAGGAGGTCGAGGTTGCAGTGAGCCGTAATTGCACCTGCATTCCACCCTGGGTGACAGACCAAAAAAAAAAAAAAAAAAAAAGACAAGCAAAAAACAAAAAACTAGTTCTAATTATAGCCTGCTTATTGAGACTAACCTCAGTGGCTTAAATGCTGCCCATCCTATCAACACTCATTTTTTCAATTTTCTCTCTTTTTTTTTTCTTTTATTTTTTTGAGATGGAGTCTCACTCTGTTGCCCAGGCCAGAGTGCAGTGGCATGATCTCAGCTCACTGCAACCTCCTATTCAAGAACTCAAGTGATTCTCCTGCCTCAGGTTCCCGCGTAGCTGGGACTACAGGTGTGAGCCACTATGCCCAGCTAAATTTTCTGTATTTTTAGTAGAGATGGGGTTTCACCATGTTGACCAGGCTATTCTCAAATTCCTGACCTCAGGTGATCTGCCCACCTAGGCCTCCCAAAGTGCTGGGACTACAGGCATGAGCCACCAGGCCTGGCCCAATTTGCACTTTACTCAGGATAGATTCAATGGTCCCAAATTATTTCGCCGTTGCAAAAAGCTTTCATCCTTCAGCCCCTCTTCCTTTGCACCTGCCCCTCCTGCCCCTCACTGATGCTGAAGAAAAAACCACAACATGTCATCTCATCTAACTTTAAATGCATGAACACACATCTCAAATGGGCACTCAGCAGTGTTCAGTAACTCCATTATTTCCACAGCATGTTTATTTTTCCCACTTTCCAAAAAGAATATTTCAAACCTCCTTTTTCTTCAAATCTTCCATCCCAGTTGATGACCTCAGTTTTTATTTCACTAAAAACATAAGCAATACAAAGTACCTCCTCATCTTCCTACAGCAAAACTGGCCAATCTGTTTGCTTCTAGATTCACAGTTTCTGCATTCCCTCCTATTGCCTCTCTTCTTTGATCCTGTCAAAGACTAACCCTCTACCTTTCTGCTCTTGATCCTCTTACCTTTTACCTTCTCAATGACTTTGGCTCCTTATCATCTCCCCTGCAAGATTATTTTTCCTCCTCTCCTGTATCAATGCCTATGATGTAATACCACAATCTTAAAAAAATTATTTTTGATCTCCCAGTGCACATCAAAACTTTTCTTGCAAGCATTATTTCCAAATGTTACCACCACTTCATCAATCTGCTTTTGTCTCTTCCAGCTGGGCTTCCCTCTTCAACTTTCACTAAAACTGCATTTTAAATGCAAACCAAACACTTTACCTTGGTTTATAAAGTACCGTATGATCTACCTTCTAGTCACCTTTCCAATCTGCCCATCCATCTCCTTCCTGTGTACCCTGCTCCATCCGTACTGCCCTTTGAATCTGCTAAATTTATTCCTGCCCAGGGCACTCTGCCCTTAACACACACAAAAAAATAACAACAACAAAAAAAGTGAACTAAACAAAAGAAAGCCAAAAAACTCTGCAGGTTCATCTTATCATTCAGATCCTTGGAGAGGCCTTCCCTGACTATCTAATATAAAACAGCCATGTAGTTACTTATCTTATTTGAACACTCTGTATACTATTTGCCATGAATTCTGATTTTTTTTCATGTCTACCTCACACTTTATCCCTATCTCTACATGTCTTCACGTGTAAGCCCCAAAATATAATAACCATGTCAGCTTCAATCAACATGTCAAGAGATGCATTATTAATGAATCTCCATTTTACAAACTATAACTCAAAAGAGTCACCTTATCTAAGGATATACCTACTAAGTGATAAAGACAATTCAAAACTAGGTCTATTGATATTAGTTCTTAACTAGTATGCATATTTTCTTTTTTTGCTATTACTCTTCTTACATTGATTTTATCTTGTTCATCTTTTACATTAAACTTCAGACCATGAATAACTCAGTTTCTCTAATCCTTTAATTGTTTCACTGGTAACATCAAGGTAAATATATGTGGGCTTGAGGACATTAAATATCTCAAGCATGTAAATAAGTTTACAAAGAAGAGTTGAATTCCACATGAAAGTAAGCTCATATCCCTCATACTATGAGCATGATTGGCTATAAATATTTTACTTTTAAATAACATTTTATGTAAGAAAAAAATCCATTCATAATTATACTCTTCAGTAAGTGTAAACTGAGAAAAAAAACAGTTACCCCGGCAGATATTTCCATTTCAAGATAAGCTAGGACACCAAGCAGAAACTGCCATTAAACTGCCAGTTTAAAAAAAAAAATTGATGAGTCAATCTGAACTCATGTGTCTCTAAGAAGAGTGACTCCAAGCCAGGCATGGTGGCCCACGCCTGTAATCTCAGCACTTCTGGAGGTTGAGGCGGACAGACTGCTTAAGCCCAGAAATTCGAGACCAGCCTGGGCATCATGGTGAAACTCCGTCTCTACAAAAAATACACAATTAGCCAGGTGTGGCAGTGCCTGCCTATAGTCCCAGTCACTCATGAGACTGAGGCAAGAGGACCACTTGTGTCCAAGAGGTGGAGGTTACAGTGAGCTGAGATCGCAACCTGGTCAACAGAGTGAGACCCTGTCTCAAAAAAAATAAAACAATAAAAAAAAGGAAGAGTGACTCCAGGCTTTTACCTCATATAAGGTGCAGGGACAAGCAGACTCACAGGGAGACTGTGGCATGATGAGCACATATAAGCAAACACTTAAAAAGACAATTCAGGTAATAAAAAATGATGGTAGAAAGAGAAGCAAGAGAAGCATCCAGATCGTATGTTTCAGGATTTTCTTAATACTCTGATTCTACTCTTCAACTAAACTTTAAACTTTCAAATGATGGAATATAAGCATCAGGTTTGTGCTGAACCATGTAAGACACATTTAGAAAATCCACTGCCATAAATCATATCTGAACTAATCAGAATGATTCAAATATAAGGCTCACAGAAAACCTTTGTCAGAGTCCCAACAGTAATATTCTTCAAAAGTGTATGTTCCATCACATCATAGTAGGCTACCCAAATTCCAGTGCCTTTACTAAAAAAGATACCTGAATTATTACTTACCAGTCCTAAAATAATTCATAATTGAGTCTCTAGTAATTCCTGGAACCTTGCAGGTAGAAAATAGCATTCGGAATTGATTCATATCTAGAGGAGTATTTCCAGCTTTATGAACAGGCACTTTTTCTCTATTAAAAAAAAAAGGATTTTGACCAAGAAGTCATTATAAAATTTAAAAACCGGCCACAACTGAAGTATTCATCCCCAAATAAGTAAATTAAGCTTCTCAACATTTTGCTACCTAAGACTTCAGGTAAGCTTGTTACTAAATTCACACGTGTCCTTACTTTCTTAATAGCTGCCAGTAGTTCAAGTTGTGCCAAAGAATTATACTTCCTCTTTCCAACTGAGTCCCTTCCTTTGGAGGCCAGTAGTGTTCAAAATGAGCTGCAGGACCCGCAAAGTTGACATTCAATTGTGATGGTATACGAACATCCAGATAGGCAACATTCAGCCACCACTCTTCCAGCTAAAAGAAATTGAGAACATCACCTTAATGTTCTTCATAATACATGAATGTGTCACTACTGGGAATTTTAAAAAGCAACCTACATTTGTTCTTTAATTATTCTTCAACATTTAAAAACATGTTTTTTGGCCGGGTGAGGTGACTCACACCTATAATCCCAGCACTTTGGGAGGCCAAGGCAACATAGAGAGACCCTGTCTCTACAAAAAAAAAAAAAAAAAATTTAATTAGCTGGGCCTGCATGTAGTCTTAGCTACTCAAGAGGCTGAGGCAGGAGGATCACCTGAGCCCAGGAGTTCAAGGGTGCAGTGAGCTATGATTGTACTGCTGCACTCCAGCCTTGGGAACAGAGAAAGACCCTGTCTCAAAAATAAATAAATAAGGCCGGGCGCGGTGGCTCAAGCCTGTAATCCCAGCATTTTGGGAGGCCGAGACGGGCGGATCACGAGGTCAGGAGATCGAGACCATCCTGGCTAACACAGTGAAACCCCGTCTCTACTAAAAAAAAATACAAAAAAATAGCCGGGCGAGGTGGCGGGCGACTGTAGTCCCAGCGACTTGGGAGGCTGAGGGAGGAGAATGGCGCAAACCCGGGAGGCGGAGCTTGCAGTGAGCTGAGATCCGGCCACTTCACTCCAGCCTGGGCGACAGCGCAAGACTCCCTCTCCAAAAAAAAAATAAATAAAATAAATAAATAAATAAATAAAAACATGTTTTCTTGCTTTAAATCATCGTACATATTGAGAAATGTTATTGTGATAATTTCTTTTCAGCAGGGAGCTATAGGATCTTAGGTATTATTTGGTTTAACTACACTATCAAAAACAAGTAGCAAGAAAGCACCAAAAGATACCTTCAGACATATTATTGTATTGTAGTCACAAGTATGCAACAAAGTACATAGGTGTTTCTTCAGAGTACTTGGGGCATAATAGATAATCAATAAATCCTTACCTAATCATAACAATTATTAAGGTATTAACAATTTTCCTTTTCCAAACAGAAACTGAAATACTACATCAGAAATATAAAAACTGGCTGGGCATAGTGGCTCACACCTGTAATTCCAGCACTTTGGGAGGCAGAGGCGGGCAGATCACTTGAGGCCAGGAATTTAAGACCAGCCTGGCCAACATGGCAAAACCCCATCTCTACAAAAAATACAAAAATCAGTTGGGTGTGGTAGTGCGCACCTGTAATTACAGCTACATAGGAGGCTGAGGCACGAGAATAGCTTGAACCCGGGAGGCAGAAGTTGCAGTGAGCCGAGATTGCACCACTGCACTTAAGCCTGGGCAACAGAACCAGACTCTGTCTCCAAAAAATAAATACATGAAAGAAAGAAATAAATAAAAGAAATAAATGAAAGTTTTCAGTAGGCTTCAAAGTAATTTAGATTTTTCACAAACACTGTTTTCTATGTATCCCTCTTTCACAATATGCAATTGAATTCCATGTATAAGTAAGTACATCTTATCAAATTACCTAGAGTATTTTTTGAAGAAAGTGATGTTATAAACTATACTCAGTAATTCAGAAAGAGACAAAAAGACACAGATAAAACAACAACTTCTTTACCTTTGCCCCACTTTAATTAAAATAACTCAAGGCTCAAAATTGAGAACAAAGGAATCCGGAAGTGTGAAATTTTATTATTCCATCACAGATATCAATGGTTCATCAAAAAAAAAAATCAGCTTGCTTTTTATTTCTAAAACTAAATGATAGGTACAATAATTATTTCTAGACCAAGGCAATGCTTTTTAATTATAAAACCTTATCCTCTGATTCATAATAGAGAATAACAGAAATGGTTGAGCTGAAGAAGTTAAAGAATTTTGCGGAAAATTATTGAGACCTTCAATAAATACTATACTAGCTTCTTCCTTCCTCAATTTATCTAACTGAAATATACAATATACGTAACCATTCTCCACTCTGATTTTTAATGATTCCCTTTCTCCATTGTACTACTAAAATATTTCTATGCCACCTACATGACATGTCCATTTTAGAGTTTCAGATTTTTCCAGCTAGTCACCTGGACAAAATGTTTTCCTTAAGCATAGTCTACAGATCACCTGCAGCCAAACCACATGAAGTGATTGTTAAAATAAGAATCTCTGGGCCTCATTCCAGACATGTGAATCAGAATCACTTATCCCAGCAAATCTGCATTTTAACAAGTTCCCGAATCCACCCACTGAAAACTCCTAAAGTTAAGTGATTTATTCCTTCTTTCGGATTATGAAAATGACAATATTAAACTGTAAAAATTTTTACAGCAATAATTTAAAATAAAAACTATGTACTTTTTATTTATCATTCTTTAAACATCATCAATTATTCAATTGTAACAACAAATACCCAATTTCTTTTTCCTTTTGCCCTTTCAAGCAATTTCTGGTGCAATTTTTCTCCAATCCCACTTTGAAATTTTTGAACTATTTCTTCAGTTTTCCTATATTCTTCTTCATTTGCAAATGGTTTCACTAGAAAGGAAAAATACATATTAAGGTATTTAGACCAAGTACCACCAACTCACCTCTATTATTACTAACTTACACAAATCTTAAGACTTGGATATGTAAAACACAGTACTGTACTAAATATCAGAGCAGAACAATAAAATTAAGAGTTGACAACATGAAAGTGGCAGAAAAGAAACAAATAAAAGATTTGGAAATCCTTGCTTAAGAGAGTGGGATTAGCAAGTTGGGAGGGAGCCAGGGAGATGGGGCAAAGGACTACATTTTTCATCACAAGACTATTTACACTATTTGGCTTTTCAAACTGTGGAAAAATTAACATAAAGAGAGAAAAGAAACTTTGGATATTTTAAGGACATGGTTGACTCGAAAAACATGAGTTTGAACTGCACAGGTCCATTCATACCTAATAAAATGAGTGTGCTTGCCTCTCCTGTCCCTACTTCCACCTCCTCTACCACCTCTGAGACAACAAGACCAGTCCCTCCTCTTCCTCCACATACTCAACATGAAAACCATCAGAATGAAAACTTTTATGATGATCCACTTCCACTTAATGGATAATAAATATACTTTTCTCTTCCTTATCATTTTTAATAACATTTGCTTTAACTTAAATAATACAAAAAATAATACATATAACATAAAAGTATCGGTTAATCAACTCTTTATGTTATTGGTAAGGCTTCTGGTCAATAGTAGGCTATTAGCAGTTCAGTACTTGAGGAGTCAAAAGTTGTACTTGGATTTTCTAATACACATGGGTCAGCACCGCCAGCCCTGCATTGTTCAAGAGTCACCTATACTTTATTACAAGTCTAGATGAAGAAGCAATTAAACCTTCAACTTCTAACAGTGTTGTTAAGGAAGCAGGAGCTTAGGAGAGCCAGAGTAATGCCATTTTAATTTCAGCTCCATCTGCAGACTAACAAGGTACAATTCCTTGCTGGTCGTGACCCACATTCAGAAGATATTTACAGTTGAGTGAACAGCCTATAGATATCTACAAGGACACACTCCTAAACAGCAGAAAGTCCAGGTGTTCCAATACCCACAACAATATATGTTTTCAAGATAATTACAGTTATGCTTGGATGTATTCACACACTAAAATGTCAAGGATAGTTTTATTTAAATCAATAGAATAATAAATTGTGTCATGTTGTCTGCTCACCCTCATGTAGACGTAGCTTAGTTTAGTCTTTACATAGATAAGGGCTCTATATAAGAAACACTTAAAATAAGTATGGTGCATTCCTTTGCTTGCCCTCTGAGGATGCCCTACTCCACAATGGAGTAGCTTTCAATAAGCTGTCTCTTCTCACTGCCCTCTGCAACTCACCTTGAATTCCTTCCCGCGTGAGATCCAAGCACCTTCTTAGGGTCTGGATCAAGACCCCTTATGTGGTAACATCTTCTGGTGACTATAAAGGAACATTAGGACGAGATCCCATGCTGAGGAAATTCAGCTGGCATAGCACTAATTGACCACCTCTGATAAGTGGGGTCTGTCTTGGCATCCTATCAAGGATAGTATTTCTAGCCCAATGGGGTTAGAGTCTGAAGGGTATAATATTTGGGTTAGAGTCCCAGACCAATGGGGTGAGAGTCCCTGGGGTATAATAAAAATTAAAGTAGCCTTGTAAGATGTATGCCAATACATGCTTTGGACTAATCTACTTTGTCCCCTTTGCCAGATATGGGAAAGCTACAGTTCTCGTCATTTCCCAGACTGTTGCCTTTGCTTTACTGCAGCCTTACAGTGGCCCCTATGGCCAGCCCAGAGGTTACTGCATTCACTTTCCACACTTGCCTTTTGTCCATCACCTTTTCGTTTGCTTTGTCATGTCTCAGGATAGCATGGGAAACCTGAGGACTTACAAGATTTGTTCTTGATATATATATTTTGAGACAGAGTCTCGCTCTGTCGCCCAGGCTGGAGTGCAATGGTGCAATCTTGGCTGACAGCAACCTCTGCCTCCCAGGTTCAGGTAATTCTCCTGCCTCAGCCTCCTAAGTAGCTAGAATTACAGGCGCCCACCACCACGCCCAGCTAATTTTTGTATTTTTAGTAGAGACGGGGTTTCACCATGTTGGCCAGGCTGGTCTCGAACTCCTGACCTCAAGTGATCTGCCCGCTTTGGCCTCCCAAACTACTGGGATTACAGATATTAGCAACGGTGTCCAGCCTATTCTTGCTATATCTTAACCACTGCAGGACTTAGTTGCTTTTACATCCCACGTTAAAATAGGCAGAAATCTTTATCTGCTTGCCCCTGTGGAGTCCCATTCTCTTGTCTGAAGTTTCAGCCTGTTAGCATTCAGGTGGTTACTTTTGCCCTGCAGCTATGAAATTAAATTGAGTCTTCTAAAGCTCTCTATTTTTCTCTTCTTTTCTGCCTGATTTGAATCTGTTATTATTAGACTACTAGTATTGAAATAAAACTTGCTGTTTAGGTTACTTGGAGATTTTGTTTTTCTTGTACAGTTCAATCAGAACTGTAAAAGAAATGTACATGTTAGAAACTCATTTGAAACTGAAAAACAAAATGTGAAAAGGCAAAACAAACAAACAAACAAAAACCAAAAAAAAAAACCCTCAAACTTCCATGAAGACTACATTAGCCAAAATTTTGATCCATGGCTTTCCTGGAGTGACTCACTGGATGTCTGGGTCATTTCCAATTAAGAAATGTTTATAATATGGGAAACATGTTTCTAAAATTTTGGCAGCTTGGGCAACATGGTGAAACCCCATCTCTATAAAAGATACAAAAATTAGCAGGGCACGGTGGCACCTGCCTGCAGTCCCAGCTACTCAGGAGGCTAAGGTTGGAGGATCACCTGAGCCTGGAGGTCAAGGCTGCAGTGACCCATGACTGCACCACTGCACTCCAGTCTGGGTGACAGTGAGTCCTCATCTCAGAAAAATAAAATAAAATAAAATTGTGGAATGATTTTATCTATAAAATGCTAATATCTGACAAACAATTCTAGGTTTCTTGCTTCCTAAGTTTTTGGATTCATGTGTAGGTGAGTGCTCTTTGTTGTCTCTTCCTTTCCCTTTGTTGTCCCTTTTCCTTTTTGCAATATACTTTGCAATATACTCAGCCTTCTAAGGCCCAGGAGACACAGGAATACTCATATTCCCCAGATTGAGGTTAGAGGCCCCACCCAGAGTTGGATAACCTATTTGAGTCTCAGAGTTGTATTTGCCAGTACCTACTGTTTCTTAATCGGCTGTATATTTGCTGTCTGTGCCTCACTAGTGACAGATGTTGCCCTGTGCTTGCATGCCCTGAAGTTTAAACCTATCATTTTCTCTGGTTTTGATGATTTTCATTCTCTGGGTTATTTAATTCAGCATCTCTCAATTGAGGGAAGCGAACATTCTCCCAGTTGAAAAATAATAATAATTTTATATAATTTAGAGCTAATTTAAAATTTACCTGTGAAAGAAGGTAAAAAGGAACAAGTAGGGAGAGAGAAATGTGAAGAAAGTTGTGAATATAAAAATGTATTTTTGGCTGGGCCCAGTGGCTCATGTCTGCAATACCAGCATGTTGGGAGGCTAAGGCAGGTAGATCACTTGAGGCCAGGAGTTCAAGACCAGCCTGGGCAAGATGGCAAAGCTCCATTTCTACAAAAAATACAAAAATTAGCCTGGTGTGGTGGTACATGTCTATAATCCCAGCTACTTGGGAGACTGAGGTGGGAGGATCACTTGAGCCCGGAATGTCAAGGCTGCAATGAGCTGTGAATTTGCCACTGCACTCTAGCCTGGGCAAGAAAGCGAGGCCCTGTCTCAAAAAAAGTAATAATAACGTATTTTTGGTAAGAAAGGTTATACAGAAGAGAATACTTTTGTATGAAAAAGAATCTTGTATGGTAAATTTTTGTCCTAAAGTAAAATGACTGACTATTTAGGAAAGAAAGAAGTTTAGAACAAGTCAGAAAGTCCAGGCATGTCATAGACAGTTTGTGTAAGTCACGATAAGATTTGTGAAGGGGAATTCATGAAAGGAATTTTGTATGTGATTAAATTGGTTACAGTGAAAAGAAAATCATTTATAAATAAGTCTTTCTAAATTTTGGTCCCTGATGTTAAAACAAGATTTTCTTAAGGTATTAATCTGCTCTTAATAAAATTACAAGAAATTTTACTTTTACTTTTATAAACTGTTTCTTTTAAAAAGTCTCAGAATCATATCCCAGAAGTTCAACTTTTACTGTGTCTCACTGCTTATTGCTTTTTTGAGGTCTGAGAGAATTCTTTCCTTCAGCTTTGTCATCAGCTTTTTTTTTTCCTCCAGTTCTAATTTTACTGTTGTTATGACCTAATGCTAAAATATTTTATCTTGAAGGTCTAGAAAAGCAATGTTTACCTCTAGTATAAACTTGATTCTGTACTTTTGGCTTTTTAAAATATATTTAAATTTTCAATGTAATAAAAAAACTAATGCTGTTCCTAAGAGTGAGATAATCCTATGCTATACTCATAACGTTGAACATACTCTTCCTGGATCCAGTTAAATTCAAGCACTTTTTTCATCAGGCTTGATGTCCAGGTTATCTAAATGGGCTTCCCATAAGGAGAAGTAGTCACACTGCAGAATTTTTTTTTGCCTTTTTGGTAACTGTCTTAAGAAACAAGATTTTATAATTTCTATGCTGTCTTTATTAGTTTTTTGGTGCTAAAACAACTAAGATTTAAAAGGGTTAAGGTGTTTACATCATGGAGCCTTCCATATTGCTTATAAAGCATTTTCATTATCACTTTGGCTAAATGAGTAACTATTATTTTACAATGACCTCTGCTTCTGTTTTGATCAAGTGTTTTCAGCCTTTTAACATGTTTAATAAACATCCTCAAAATCAAAATCCTAAATTAAGTCTCTTAGTCTTATTGCTGGATTTATAAAAGCTATAAAAATTAATTACTACAAGACTGTAGAATCTTTTTACAGCTTTTAGTCAGACCATGAACTCCATTATCACCATAATATAGTTTGGATGTCCCCTCTAAATCTCATGTTGAGATGTAACGCCCAGTGTTGGAGGTGGGGCCTGGTGGGAGGTGGCTGGATCATGGGAGCAGAGCCCTCATGAATGGCTTAGGCTGTCTCCTTGGTGACAAGTGAGCCCTCAGTCTGATTTCACACCATATCTGGTTGTTTAAAAGTGTGTGGCAACTCTTCCTGCCTGTCACTCTCTCTTTCTTGCTCCTGTTTTCACCATGTGAAGTGCCTGCTCCTGCTTCACCTCCTGCCATGATTGTAAGGTTCCCAAGGACTTTCCAGAAGCAGAGGTCAGCACTATGCTTCCTGTACACCCTGCAGAACTGAGAGCCAATTAAACCTCTTTTTTGAAAATAAATTACTCAGTCTCAGGTATTTCTTTATATCAATGCAAAAACGGCTTAACACATACTACTTCCAGCCTGATAATTACATATACTAGAAAAAATCAGTTAAAGGGCCAGGCGTAGTGGCTCACACCTGTAATCCCAGCACTTTGGGAGGCAGGGGCAGGTGGATCACTTGAGGTCAGGAGTTTGAGACTAGCCTGGCCAACTGGGTAAAACCCTATCTCTACTAAAACTGCAAAAAGTTAGCTGGGCATGGTGGTGCATGACTGTAATCCCAGCTACTCAGGATGCTAAATTGGGAGAATTGCTTAAGCCCAGGGGGCGGAGGTTGCAGTGAGCCAAGATTGCACCAATGTACTCCAGCCTGGGTGACAGAACGAGACCATGTTTCAAAAAAAAAATAAAAAGAAAAGAAAAAAAAATCTGTTAAAGGACTCCCTCTAGTTCCTTAAAAGGGTCCTTACCAAGTGCTAATCCTTGTGCCTTAAAGTTACAGGGCTTTGACTCCTGGGTATATATAGCTCATCTAAAGAAGGTACTGACTCCTGCCAGTATCTGATAGCAAGCTGAAACTAATCAAAGCCTTGTCTTTAGACCTGGACAATCAAAGTAAACTGTTTTCATGAGACCTACAGACAGAGACATAGAGACAGACCTGTATTCAAAACATTAAAATTCATTTAATAATTTTGCCTATATCTGAATATAATTTTTCTATGCCTTGATATTAAATAATTTAAGTATTTGGCTACATATGGGCTTCCTTTCCTCTCATTCTCAAAACTAGGTGGGGCTTATGACATTTTTGTTTAAAACATTAATTCCTTATGTTTTGTTTTCCTCCATAATTTGAAACTATTTAGTCCTTCTAGGCCCAGAGACTACCACATGAGATTGTAAGGGCTTGTTGTGGGGAATAAAATCAATTCAGGCCCTCCAAATCAAGGTCAGGCAAACTGCCTCTAAAGCTGAGCAAAATGCTTGTATTTTATATGGCTAACTGCTACAAGTCAAGATTAAAATAGCTTAATGGATAGAATTTATAAATAAGTAAATTTTGTAACCCTGCCATTTGGCTTTTGGCTCTTACATTGCTTAAAAGGGGTTTTAAGGTTAATGAGTGCCTGCCCACCTCCATTCCCATCTGGCCTAGAAATAAGTCCTTTGGCCACAGAGGTCCCACCAAGAGACATGATGGACCCAGGGCAGGTAGCACACCACCCTGACATCGATATTGGACAAAATAAGAGCTTGGCCATTGATGGCATACCTTGACAAAAAAAGGGGGCACTATAAAATAAGTAAATTTTAAAAAGTTCTAAGCCCTTTCCCAACAAAATGGACCCTCTTCTTGGCCAAAGGGCATCTAAAACACCTGAAAAACTAGTTCGGGCCATGAGGGGAAGCAGGGAGATTGGACATGGTTTGCTATATCTTTCCTCTTCTTGGAATTCAGTCATAACTGACTAGCTTAGCATTAAAATAGAAATCATAAGATTGACAAAACAGACTCTTTATGGTAATAAAATACCAAATTATAAATAGGATCTAAGATCACGTCAGGCAAGGGTTAAGTCTCCATCGCAGGGTTAAACAGTCATATGTTACATGCATGTTTGTTCAACATTCATGTGTTACAACCACATCTATAAATATTCATAACTCTGCTGTTCAACCAGGAGACTTAGTCGTATTAAAGACTTGGAAAGAAGGACCTCCTACAGACAACTTTCTCTGAAGTGGAAAGGACCCTACCAAGTGCTTCTAAGTACCTCTAGTGGAGTTAAGCTTAAGGGAGTACACACTTGGATACATTCATCCAAAATTAAACCTGCCTCTCGTAAAGTCCCAGAGGCATTCAGCGTGGTGACCACTGTTCCAGCATACTCTTGTGAGCCAATAAAAAATCCTGTGGCTTCTCTTCAAAAAAAGAATCCATCCAGTAGATAAGCACTACTCTCAAAATGAAATTACTGGTTTTAATATTAAACTTGATCTATTATAATATTATGGAGCTAATTTGTTTACAGAATAGGCACAAACTATGGCCTCCCTTATAAACCAGAAAAACTGTTGGGTATGCAGTGAATTACCTCTTTCATCACCCTCAGGCTTACCTTGGCATATCAAATAGGCTAATTTAAGCCACCTCAATGAATGGTTTATAATAGGTAAATACTTTCCTTTTCTAATGTATCAAAAAGGCACCAGCCACTATCCTTCCTTTCCTCTACTGAAACAAACAAACAAAAAAACACCTTTTTCAATTATTCTGCAGACAACTAAATAACATCCCCACTTTAGGCTATACCATTTTTGATGGGTTTAGTTGATTAATGGCTACCCAAATTCAGGTGACAGGTAAAGCACTCTTATGCCTTGAGAGACATGACATCAGTCACTTCCAGGCTGAAACCTACAACGTGGGGTGGTTGCCACCCAACAATGCAATCAGACTCTGGTCTTAACTAATCAAATGTGGACAGAAAGGCAAAATAAATCTCTAAGATTGGGTGCCTATCCTTCACCTTGGGGATGATTATGGGCAAGTGGGTCTCACAATTGGCTATACCTATCTTACAACTGGACTGGACAATGTACTAGGGATCACTACCTTCTATGACATATCGTTATACATCTAAATTCCTTCCTCACCAACTGAAAACCAGTCAAGGCCCATCATAGATGATGACAAAACAGGTTTCTTTGTGGTTTTATCCTATGGCCATATTCTCTCCTCAAGCAGCAGTTACATATATTGAATCACAAATAAAGACCCTAGCAAAACATACTGGTGTAGCTTTCAATGACACTCATCAGGCTATCACCCTCCTGACAGAAGAAACTTCCCAAATAAAACCAGTGGCCTTGCAAAACCATACGGCCTTACATATTTTTTAACTGCAGCCAAGGGAGGAACTTGTGCCTTGAACAAAACTGAATATTATATTATGTTCCTGATTACTTCCATAATCCATCCCAGGACATGAGTTCTCTGGAAACTTGTATTTGGCAATGGATTCCCTGTCTTATGGCCCTATAACAGCAGGGTTTCATGGGCTCTCCAGCACTTGGAAAGCATTTCTTTTCATTATGCTTGGTATTATAATATTCATTATTATTAGTTATTGTGCTTTTTACTTCTGTTGTGCTTATTGTATAGGGTTGCAAGATAAAATAGCTTAGCAGCTGTTTCACCTATTTACTAACCTAGTATATTAACTTTCTAGAAACGACTGGGACATCATGCAAGCAAGGAGCTCCCTGACTCCCTGAAGAGGCTCACTGCACACTATTATGAGAAGACCCTGTTCCAACAATCAACATCCACTGCCTCCCAGAAGGAGTTATAAAAGGACAACCTTCACCCTTTATCTCCCCTTAAGGTTAAGGGTTCTCTCATAAGTGGAGGGGGAAATCTTGGGGAAGCAGGAGCCCAGGAGAGCCAGAGTAACACCATTTTAAATTCAGCTCCATCTTGAGACTAGCAAGGCACCTTCCTTGTCAGTCACGACCCAGTCATAAGATAGTTACAGTTGAGGAAACAGCCTAAAGATACTCACAATGACACACTCCTACAACAGTGGAAAGTCCAGATGTCTCAATACCCATAAGAATATATGTTTTCAAGATAATTAACGTTATTCTTTGGCATATTCATGCACTAAAATGTCAAGGATTGTTTTCTTTAAATCAATAGAATAATAAATTTTGTCATGCTGTCTGCTCAACTTCACATAGACACAGCTTAGTCTTTACATAGATTAGACCCCTATGTAAGAAAAACTTAAAGACCATCTGCTTGCTTTCTGAGGATGCCCTACTCTAAAATGGAGAAGCTTTCAATAAACTTTCAATATACTAAAAGATTATTAACATACCTGATTCAAGGTATTTTTTTAATGATTCTTTGAGTGAAGGAACAGGCAGTGATGGAAGAGAATCCTGGTACTGAAATGTTCGTTCTTCAGTTGATTTAGCCAATTGATTTTCCATGATAAAATCACAGTAGGAAAACTAAAGAAAAGAGAGACAGCCCTCACAACTTCAATCTCATAGATAGTCTTATGTATCCTAGGTACAATTCACAATTCACTAAACCAGTATTTAGGGACCACAGCATGTCTAGGATATGGTACCAGTTATTATGAAATTTATAAATCTGTCAGATAGAGAAAACCAACTTAAAAAGAATGTGTAGACTCAAAGTGCTAGAAGTAAAGAGTGATCAGTGAGACTGGTATAATTAGTTACCATTTATTGAACACCTAGCATTTGCCAGGTACTCCAGTTTGCATTACAGAAAATATGTGTTAGCTCCCTAACTTTTACGTTATCTCTGAAAGGTGGCATTGTTTGCCATTTTACGTATGAATATACCAAAACTCAGAAATGTAGTAACTTACCTAAGGTCAAACGCAGGGCTCAAACCCAGATCTCTTAAGACTGCAATCTTTCCCCTATACAAAACATGATAGAAGGTGAGGGAACGTGCAATAAATCTTAGTGGATAGATAATATTTGATGTATAGAAAAGGATTATGCATTGATACAGAAAACATTGGGGCGCAAAGTACAAAGAGGTGTGGAAGTGTCCAACTGTAGAATTAAAGATTATTATAGAATACATAAACCATATGACAAGCTGCTTTAATTGTACAGGTGGTATGAGGCCTACACAGAATGGTCTCAAGTGTTCCAAAGCAATCCTGAACATATTGACACATGTATTCATTGTTATCAAAGAAATCTAACCCAAAATGTGAATAAGATGTACAAATGCTAAATAAAAAATGAGATTTATCAAAGCCTTTGTAAATTATCATATATTAATTATAATAATGTAATATATTAAATATAATTATATATTAAAATAGCAACTGAGAAATCAAAGAATGTTAATACTGAATTCAAATTTCCTATTCTTTCAAAAACTACTTTTTAAAACTGATAGCAACACTAAACAAAATATTCCACTCATATAAGGTTACAGAATTGAACACTATCAAAAACATGGAGACAGCAGAGACTGTTTTCTGCTAATACCTTTTTTCCTCTGCTTTAACAGAATCCTGAGTTTCAGCCATGCATACAGCCCCCAGTTACATCTTTCCCACCCTCTCTTGAAGCTCAGTGTGGCTTTGTGATGACCTTGTGTGTGTCACTTCCAGGTCATGCTCCCAAAAAGGAATAATGCATGTGTTCTCCCTGCACTTTCCCTCCTTTTCACTACCTGCTAGGTAGTGACGAACTAAACAGCACTGTGGCCCCATTTATGGAAGTCATGTATGGAGGATGTCAGAATCTCCCTACTAGTCCTGGACTCCTACCTCTAGCTGTATGGGAAAAAAAAAAAAAAAAAACTTCTATTTTATTCACATCATTGTATTTTGGGCTTTCTTTTGTAGGGAGAAGAGCTTAGCCTGTACCACCAATATAAAGAGATAATTTGAAAATGAGAAATAATAATTAACTCAAAGTTCTTTAGCTTCTTGCTGTCTATTGACTTTGGCTGCACACCATTTTGACCATCCATAAACATGGGTTTGGACCTAATGGAAATGTAGATCTGGATCCAAGTATAGACTCTGCCACTTTCTAGCCAAGTGCCCCTAGGGCAACTAACTTTAAGTGAATTTCCTTATCTTAGAGTGGTTAATCATACAATTCAATAAAGTCAGAATTTGTTTTCAATGCCTGTGAAAGCACATTATAAAAACAAAATAATCCTGCGTGAAACCACCATATTGTGGTAGGCACAATTACTATGAATGACCCCCAAGATTCCACCCCTGCTAATCCCCAGAACCTGCAAATATGGTGAGATCATTACTCCTGTGACTGTGATATTCTCTACAGAACTGACCTTAAAATAGGGAAATCATCCAAGTGGAACTAATCTAATCACTTGAGTCCATAAGAGCAGGGAGCTTTCTCTGGGCAGTGGCAGACAAGTAAGACTGCTTTAATGCTTGAGAAGGATTTGTGGTGTCTTTGAAGATGCAGATGGCCTTAAAGAACTGAAAAAGGCTCACGCTGACATACAGTAAGGATATGGAGATGTCAGTGTGAATTTTGTCAACAACCTGAAATAGCCTAGAGGTGGATTCTCCCCTAGAGCCTCCGGAAAAGGACTCATATCTACAGAAACCTTGGTTTCTGTTTTGTGAAATTCTAAGCCAAGAACTCAGCTAAGCCCACCCAAACTTCACATCTACAGAAGCTATGAGATAATACATTTGTGTTGTTTTAATTGTTGCATTTGTGGTAATTGGTTAAAGCAACAATAGAAGACTAGTACACCCATACAGAGAAGATAAGCTATTCTGTTTACCTCTGTGCCACTTAATAGACTCTAGAAAACTGAAAGCAAGAGTATTAGTTTCATACCCACTATAGTGCTTAACCCACCAACCGGTACACATTAAAAATATAAATTATCGGATTCTTTCTTGAAGAGTTTTCTTGAATTCTCAACCACAAAGATTAGATTACACAATATAGTTCCAATAGCACTAAGAAAATGATTATGCTAGATTTAATTAGAATGGACTTTCTGGGGGCAATGAAATATGAATTCACCGAAAGTGGAAAAGAACCACGAACAATAAGTGAAGGAATTGTCACATACCAGTACACCAAGAAGATGAACTGCTTAAGACTGCCAGGAGCCTGCTGCAACAATTGTTTTGGGATCACAGGGAACTAAACTAAGTTGGTGACTGTGGGAAGAAAGAAACAAGCTTAACAAACATTTAAGAGGGAAAAAGAAGTGAACAAGCCAGTGAAAGAAGGTAGAATGCAGACAACCTAGGAGCTGGGAGTTCCCAAGACAAACTTTTTGTGAATCGCTGCAAACACACGCAAATAGTCCACCTGCTAGAGAGCAGGAGTAACTGATTATACAATTAATTAGGTTTCAGACAGTACACCTTCCATTAGACGGGTTCAAAGAGTAGAGGATACCTTTTCAGTGGCCGGGTAACAGGTTCGTCCAGAATGGCAAAGGGTGGAAGCAAGAGCAGAGGGCAATGAGAGCTCGGAGGCTCCTCCCACCAACCCAAGGGCAACTCTGTACTCCAGAGGCCATCCAAGTGAGAGAAATCCAAGCACCACAACGGAGCAGCCCCGCGGCCCAACCTTGGGGGTACCCCTCAGACCCCAGCAGGCGAGATGCTTGATGACACTACTCCCCTGCCAAATCCAGGCACCTTTGCGGTTCTGCACGACTTAACTCTCTTCTGCACGACTTAACTTTCCCCTGCCCCCGAGTTGAAGGATTAGGGAAGGGAAGGAGTGCTGCTTCAGCGGACCTCTCTGTCCTCACCGCCGGAGCCTCGCCGCCTCTGCCGCCTCTGCCGCAGCCTCAGCCTACAGCAGCGCCGGCTCGCTCCCCCTTGGGCCTCAAAGGTGCGGAATTGGACGGAAAGCCGCTAGGGTACCGTCCCTCATTCGCCGGGAAACAGGATTGGACAAAAAGTCGCGAGGGTCCCGCCCCGCACTTACCGGGGAACGGGATTGGACGGACAGCTGCAAGGCTCCCGCCCCGTGCCTGAGGTCTGGGTCGGGCCGGGCCTGAGCGGAAGTGGGATCCGACCCTGCCTCTAGTGGGCGTATTGGGTCCCGGCTCTATTTTGGACTGCTGGCCTGGGAAAGGCTCCTCGAGTGCCAAATGAGCGGTCCTAACTCTGCGGGGCTGCAGCTTCCTGCATGATGCTGGGGAACTTGGCGGCTGACCCAGGATATAGAAGGCACTCTGAGCAGGCCGCGCTCCGCCCACGAAGGTACCCAACCCTCTGGGATAGATGCAGGAACCGATGGCTAGGACCCATTTTCTCCCAACTTCTCGCCCCAGCTCTGGCTTACCACACGCTCCTCCCCATTCCCAGTGAGCCGCTTTTTGCAGCACCAGGCAAACACTTACACAAGTTCTTTGTAAAGGAATCTTATTGTCCACCCCGTGTCTTGGCAAAAGAACAGTGATCACACGGATTCCTACTTGGGTTCTTTCCTTTCATCTTCGGAGGCAGAGTTTGCCCAACTCAGGTATGCCGCAGCACACTACATCCTCTCGGGTCTCCTTGCCCTTCAGCAGCTCTTCCTTGCTACCCAAGGTATTTGAATACCCCAGGGATGCTTACCCTACAAGCTTAGGGGCCTATCCGATGTCTTTTACTGTTGTGCCAAGAAATGCAATCTTTAACCAGAGTGGAGCTACCCAAGTTCTAGAAGATCATAATGTGATTAACTTAGTTTCACAGATTAATTCATTTCGCTTTTACCTTCTGAAATAAAATATACTGTTTCATTTTTAATTTTAAATACACTTTCATTTTTTTGTGGAAGGAAAGACCAAATGTTTACACTGACTCTGAACTAGTTATCAAACATAAAGATTTAGATTTCAAATTAACATGTCATGACAGGCCCCATTTCTTTGTCATTTCTAACTCCTTTAGCAGTAAAGTTTGACCTGAACGGAACTGAGGCTATCTGTAACTGAATGTTCATTTGGTGTAAATATTCATAAGTTTTCTACAGAAATACTGTGTTTGATTACAGTACAGCTTTTGGAAGTGCTGCATAACATATGGGAGACGTACTATTCTAAGAAAAGTTCTGAATTTTGAAACCTATGTAGCCAAAAAGACTTTAAATAAAGGATTAGGAATTTGTAGTTGTAATTTCTGAAGGTGTGATAAATAACTTTTTCTTTTATATATAAGTGCGATGCTCTGGATAATGTTAAAGTTTGCTTACAAGATAAAGTTCTTAAATTGAGTAACTAAAAACTACTCAGAAACCTTCGTTGTACTTTTTTTCTCCTTTTTAGTGAGTTTTGGCATCTCTAAAAGTTTATGCATGTTTAATGCCTGTTGGTGCATAGAATTTAGAACCATTTCGCTGCACTCTTTTTCCTACTCTTGTTGTTTATTTCAATGGAAACAAGATGTTTCTGTAAAGATTCCTGAATTCTTGGATAAACAAAAAGTTGTGGGAGTGAAAAAATGAATGGAACACAGATTTGAGTATGTAGACAAAAATCTTTTAAAATATGTTATACTGATAAGCATATGTACCCCAAATCACCAAAAAACAGGTATTTTAAAATAATTTATGTTTGGCTTCAAAATATGTGATATATATTTTAATGATAGATTCCAAATTATGTTGCATTCAGGTTAAACTTGAACAAGTTTGCATTTCTTAGAGTGGAGTGGGAGATACTGACTGGTAAGGAAGATGTTTTAGACACTTGAAGTATTTCTGATAGCAAGAAGTTGTTCCAAGATTAAAAATTGACTATGAGTTGACCAGACGCAGTGGCTCACTCCTGTAATTCCAGCACTTTGGGAGGCCGAGGTGGGCGGATCATGAGGTCAGGAGATCGAGACCATCCTGGCTAACATGGTGAAACCCCGTCTCTACTAAAAAAAAAAAGCAAAAAATTAGCCGGGCGCGGTGGCGGGCGCCTGTAGTCCCAGCTACTCGGGAGGCTGAGGCAGGAGAATGGCGTGACCCCGGGAGGCGGAGCTTGCAGTGAGCCGAGATGGGCACCTCCAGTCTGGGCAGCAGAGCGAGACTCGGTCTCAAAAACAAAAACAAAAAAACCAAAACAAACAAACAAAAAAAATTGACTATGAGTCAAAATAATTTTCTGGAGGAAAATTTGTAAGTAGTACAAGTGGTGATAATTTTTTAAGTTGCCATTAAAAAATATTTTATTTTTGTTCTTCTGTAGTTCTTACTCAGCATACCACAAATTGCAAAAACCTTTATAGATAAGTCTAGATAAATTTCACCATTAAAAAGTATTAAAATACTAGACTAAGAAGTTCATATTTCAATCTACATAACTGGCTTCCTGATAAGATTTGTGACCCTAATAAGTATGGAGATACGGTAAATAGCCCTAATCTATGGGAGATCTGTAACCTCATTTCATCCTGATGTATAAAATGAACATGTTGAAGAAATAATTTTGTGATGTTTCTTCTTTTTAATGGGGGGGGCAGTAGAAATATGGTCATTTTGGTAAGTAGCCAACAGCAAATTAAAGTACACTGGTTGCAAAGAGGTCAATGTAGCATTAAAAATGAACTCCACTGCCAACAGCAAATGAACAGTGTTTGATACAAAAGATCTCTTTTTAGTACTAATCATTGATTTGGTTTGGGGTTGCTTTTGATGATATTTACTGTATATGAAAAGTTGCCACCAAAATCTGAGGGGAAGAGTTAAGATAACTATGATGTTTTTACATCTCAGAAAAAAATGCCTTCTTACTAAACAAAATATAGCATTTAAAACTTTTGTTAACGTCTTTGTTGAAATATAATTTACATACCATAAAGCTCTGCCATTTAAAGTCCATAAATCAATGGTTTTACTATATTCACAGGGTTATGCAGTCACCATAATCTAATTTTAGAACATTTGGTTTAAATATTTAAAAAGATTATTTTCTTCTTACTCAAATCTCTGTTCCATTCATTTTTTTTTCAGTCCCACAACTTTTTCTGTATCCAAAAATCCAGGTATCTTTACAGGAATATTTTGTTTCCATTGAAATAAATAACAAGACTAGGAAAAGAGTGAAGCAAAGTGGCTCTAAATTCTGTGCTACCAACAGGTATTAAACATGATTCATCAACTGATGAATGGATAAACCACTTTTTGTTTGTCCATTTTGTTTGTTCATGGACATTTAGGTTGTTTCTACCTTTTGTCTATTTAAATAATGCTACTATAAACATTTGTGTACAAGCTTTGTGTGAACAGGCTTTCAATTATCTTAGTATTTTAGGAGTGGAGTTGTTGGGTCATATGTTAACTCTATGTTTAACATTTTCAAAAACTGTCAAACTGATTTCCAAAGGAACTGTACTGTTTTTACATATCTGCCAGCAATGTATGAGTTTCAATTTCTCTGTGCATTTAGTTACAATAACAATATAACAGCCCTCGTTACTGTATTTTAAAAAAATTATAGCCCTTCTGATGAGTGTAAAGTGGTGTCTTGTGGTTTTTATTTACATTTTTTTGTGAAGACTAAGAGTGTTGAGTATTTTTTCATGTGCTTATTGGCCATTTATATATCCTCTTTGGAGAAATGTCTATTAAGATCCTTTTCCCATTTTTTAATTAATGCACATATTTTAAAATTATATTAAAATTAGGCAATGGTCTGACCATAACAAGGCTGCTTATGGAATACTGTTACGTTAAACTTCACTTACAGGATGTTAAATCCTTAGAACTGAGATTTTCCCCAGAAAAAGATTAATGGAAACGTCAGTTGCTTTTCAGACTTAATGCTGCTTCAAAAGATGGTTTTACGCAAATAATTTAAAAAAACTTTAGCACACAATGAATCGTTTTTAGTTTGGTATGGGTCCACATTTCAGCATTTAGTAGTGGTCCTGAACAGAAAGTGAAAAACACAGCAATTTTCCAGGAGGTCAAGTCTGCCAATTTCAGGGATCTGCTGTGTACTCCTATTTCTTTCTTAATCCCTGCTGAGGATCTTGAGAAGCAGGAGCAGCACCAAAACCAAGGCATGCACTGTATCCAAGGTTCTTTTTGTTCCAGTTGTCGGATTCCAAACTAGACCCCAGTGGATTGCAAGGATGACCAAATGAGAGCCCTGTTTAAAACTTCTTCAATTTTTAAAAGCAAAAGCAATTACAAGAAAATAAAACAATGCAGAGGGATCATGTATGCTTACAAGTGTCTTCATGTGGTCTTTCTCCAGGTTTAACCACCAAGGACTCTGAGAGCTGGCAGGTCTAAGTAACCCTGGTAACCATTCTCTTCACTTTATCAAAACCTGAGCTAAAACCAATGCATCAGCTGATGATGACAGCTGGCAGGGCCGATGACCCAATATTCATTTCCCAGGCTGGTGGAGAGTGAGTAAATGAGATTCTAAAACTAAACAAGGGAGGTCAGAGACTCTTTCCAACCTTACCTGATGGCTTCTGGCCAAAGCAAGGAAGTGTCTTGGAAGGTGTTGGTTGGTGATAGTGTGAAAAGACACTTGAGGAGGAAGGAAGAAAAAGCAGCACCCCGTGATAAAGGCGGGGGAGAGAAGATATGGGGAAATCCCTGAATTCCTCACCAAAGGCCAATCTCAGAGAGTAGTGGAGGGGTTACAATCTATGCTTTGGCCAAGGGAGGGAGCAGAGGAGGGGGGGTTAGGATGATGGCTTGAAGAGGCATCATTTAAGACTTAAAGAAACCAGGGGTGCAGGTAAAGCATCCCACACACTAAGCAGTAGTCCCACAGGCTGCGACCTGAAACCTTCACATCTACTCTTAACAAGCCCCCCAGGCTAGAGGGCTATTGCAAGGGGAGAAGGCAGAGACCCCAGACCATGTAATCAACAGCAAGGTGATTGTGTGATGAGTCTTTTCACAGTTGAGTTATTAATAGATGTGCCGCACCAGCTATAATGGGAATCAATTTAAATATACTTTTTTGATCCCAGACGTTCAACTACGTGGACAGTAGTTACATTTAGCACAACTTACATGTTTCAAATGGACAAAAAATTAATATCATTTACACTATCTTAAGATAAATTTACTTTGAATGGGAGCGTCCTTTCCAGAATGTTGAGATCTATAAGATGTATCCGGAAAATGTACTACTGTGGAAAATGAGGACTGCTTAAATCGAAAGGGGAAGGGCCTGTGGTTTTTCTTTTTGATTAACTGCTGTAACACTGTCCTTCAGGCAGCTGAGGGAGTTTCATATTTTATTTAGACATCATTAGGCACTGAAGCTCTTACAGGACAACTTTGATACTATATGAATTCTGTCATTTTGCTAGCACTGATATGGCTCTTGGGTTTACCACTCCATTAGAACTATTAACTCCATTCATATTAATTTTTGTTACAAATCTTACAAATGGGGGTGCTTCTGGGTATTTAGGTCCACATTCTATTTTAAGCCTGCATATTTGGTTTTCATAAATTGCTCTTGGAGGCCCAATTACCATCCCCGTTCATCTTTTAAGTATCGTGTCTTCGTCACCTTC